GACACAAAGTTTCAAAAAGCTGTGGCACCCCGGGGCTTTTCCAATTCCTCCCCTAGCACGGCCATGTTAAACACACACACGGTAATGTTATATTATATAATATGATTATAAGAAATACCTATTAAATATGTGAAGTATTGTATTCTGTGGAAAATGCATATATATGAGTATTAAATATTAATAGAAGCACTTCCAAAAACTGTCACTACATAAATGATCATCTATACAACATTTAGTTACATTCAAAGATAATAGTGCGTTTAAAGTGTATTTCAGTACTTAGATACTAGTAATCGTTACATAATATACTTTTATATTATAATGCATGATATGTTTATGGTTTAAGCCAAAAAAAGCTTTAATGCAATCATTGGCGCAACCATTTCCCCTTCACATTGTGCTGCAACAACAGTAATTTGCTATGCGTGCTCTGCGTGTTGTTGCAATGTCCGTGTACTCTTGTTTCCACTGGACGCTCCAACCACAAATGGAACAATGGAGCAGTGTTGATTTGAGTTTGATTTCCCATATAGGCACATCCGTACATCGGTGACCTAGTTTGTATTGTCTCTACCTCGAATTTTGCCTTTTTACCAAATGGAGGACATATACTTTCACTGATAATTTCACTGCAAATACCATATCACAATACATGACAAAATAAATAGTTGTGAAGACATTCAGCAATAATACAAGTTTTGGTCTGGCAACATAACCATGAAATAGGACAATATTTTTTCTACCTATAGTAACATATAACAATATAACAATGTAGATTATTATAATATATATTTTTTCTCTTCTCATTTTTCTTTAGCGTATAATAATATGTAAATATTTGTACTGACCGGAGCCGACACTACCCCGCAGATCGTAAGTCCACTTTTGTTGTCATCGTACACCTAACTACTTTTAAAATATATTATTGTTATGACCTAACAAACAATTATCTTTTCGACGAATTAATTATAAACAATAATTTAATAAAAGCAAACTCCTGGCCTTTGCATAGACGGAGTTTTAAATGACTCGATTTTGAATGCGTTATATATATCCCAACAAAAACACTCCGTCAACTCCGTGTAAAAAACGCTAAGTAAAAAAAAAAAAAAAAATATAAATGCCATAAAATGTGTGATATAAGGTAGAAATCTAAGTAAATGGTCTAATGTGTAAAATGTATTTATTAGTAATTAATTCAAATTTAATAAAATTGGTTATTTATATTAATTTATAATATGAATTATTTTAACTAAAATTTATCCAATTTTGGTTTACTTGGCCGGAACATTCTGTCTAAAAAATGTATAGCCAAGTACTAATAGTTTATGTAATAAAAAATGAAAGCACCATTACAATAAATAAATTGTTTCCGGCCAAGTAAACCAAAATTGGATAAATTTTAGTTAAAATAATTCATATTATAAATTAATATAAATAACCAATTTTATTAAATTTGAATTAA